TCTGTTGCCAAATGTCCCCAGGGGCACACTTGATTAGGACTCTCTGCTCTGGCTCGAGCCCCTTGAAGGCAGGAGGAGGGAGGTCCCTGATGTAACCAGGGCCTAGTTTGGGGCTGGAACTTGGCAGAGGGAGAGTGGCTGGTGGGAGAGAGGAACAAACGCGTGCCCCCCTCCCGCATCACCCCTCTCCAGGCATCCAGCCCATGAGCTTTTGCCCACTCAAGCCTCACAGAAGCCCCGTGGGGTCAGCATTAAATCCTCGCTTCCCAGATAAAGGCGCTGGGGTCCAGAGAGGCTGAGCGAGTGGCCCCAGATCACACAGCAAGTGGGCAACAGGGCGAAGGACGCAGTGGCCGAGAGGAACAGGGAGTGGTCTCTGTTAGAAAAGGATGGAAGCTGGGTCCTGCAGAGTGAGTCGGGCAGGGGGGACCCCAGGGAAGGAAGTCCCGGCCTGAGAAAGGCCGTCGGTGGGCGTGTGACCCTCAGCCTGGGGGACTCCCACGAGAACTGAAAATGAGGACAGGAACGTTCACAGCAGCACGATGGACAGTAACCGGCAGGGAACAACCCGGATGCCCCTCAGCAGATGAACGGATGGACAAAACGTGGTCTGTCCACACCATGGAATATTCTCATCATAAAAGGAGTGAAGTCTGACACGGCGTGGGGACCAGTCTGGAGGACGCGATGCTCAGGGAAAGAGGCCCGACACGGAGGCCACGCTTTGTCCAATTCCATTGACCAGAAACGCCCAGAACAGGCGCATCCGCAGGGACAGAAAGGAGAGGAGCGGCCGCTCGGGGGCTGGGCGGGGTGGGGGGTAATAAGGGAAACGCACAGGGTGTCTTCTGAAGACAATGACCATGGTCTAAAGTGGACGGTGGTGATGGCCGCACGACTCCGTCTGCTAAGAGCCATTGATGGGACGGTGCCCTTCAAACGGGGACCGTATGGTGTGCAATGACATCTCAACAAAGCTGTTTAAAAAGAAAAAGCTGGGGGTGGGGGTACTCCAAGGCAGAGGAGCAGGCTCTCCCCCGCTTCTCCCTCTCACTGCAGAAGCCTCGAGAACGCCCGTCCCGGGGACGCGGCGAGTCCGTGAAATCTGAAAAGACGGCGCAGCCTTGTGAGGCCTGGGGAGGAGACAAAAGCCTTCACTGCTGTCCGAGCTCCAGATCCTGAAGTCACACCCGCCCTCTTTCCCCAGGCCCCAAGTGACCCCGGCGATCGGCAGAGGGGCCCTCGCGGCCACCACCGTCTGGGGCCCTCGAATCCATGGCCCCTCTGCTCCTGGTGGCTTTCGGGGGGAGGCCCAGGAAAGGCAGAGAAGTTGGCGCTGACCCTGCAAAATAGTGCAGCCCGGGTGGGCTGGGGTGGCGGGGGGACCCCACAAAGAAGCGAGTGTGCGAGGGGTTTGTCTGCGCACAATGGCCCCTCAGAAGCCCGTCCCCGGGGAACACAGAGGCGCTCTCTCGACGTGGCCTAAGAAAGAAATGTCTGTGTTCTTGCAGGGCCTGCCCCCTCGGGCGCCAGGCCAAGAATGTGCGGCCCAGGATCTATTACGTTTCTAAAATGATGCCTGGGTTCAGGCCTTGGGCAGAGGGAGAAGCGGGAGAGGATGTGGCGGGCGGGCAGGAAATCTTTAATCCGGCCCCTTGCACCCCAGCCTGCACGCCAGGCAGCGGGAGCGGAGCGCCCCTCCAGCAGATGCCAGGTCGGCCCTGAGCCTCAAAAGCCCTTCTGTGCAAAGCCTGGGCACTCAGCTGCTTTTCAACATCGCTTCAGTGCCTTCCCTGATTGCTTGAGTTTTCCTTGGATCAAGGGAGTTGGGGGCGGGGGGGAGGGGCGGGGATTGGGATGGTGTCCTTGGGCAGCCCAGTTTGAGGAGCAAACAAGAGAAAGAAAATTCCTGCTGGTCAAAATCTAGAAGTGGGAGCACAGTTGCTGTATAGGGTTGTGCACTGCACAACTGCAAAGGGTGGTCTTCTCAAATACAGAGTCGTACTGTGGGCAACCTATACAACCCTTCGAGGTGGCCCATAATGTATCAGAAGGAAGACCAGCTGGCTCCTGCGGCCAGGGCCTCACTCTTGGGTGGAGCTGGGCGGGTGTGAATCAGTGGCGGCCAGGGTGTATGTGGGGGATAGATCAAGACCTCAACAGGAATGTCAATCCTCTTTGAAATATTTAGACACCACCGCCACGAGAGAGGAAGGAAAAGTCAAGGGAGTAGAACCTCCAAATCTGGAGGTTGCCAGAAAAAAACAGAGGACGCCCAGTGAAATTTGAATGTCAGATGAACAATGAATCATTTCTTAGCATAAGTATGTCCCCAATATTATGCGGGATATACTTATGCTAAAAAAGTATCTGTTGTTTATCTGACATTCAAATCCAACGAGGCGTTCTCCATTTTTATTCCCTAAACCCAGCCTCCTTCCCCACAGAGGACAACCCTGTAAAGCTCTGTGCCACCCACCAGGGCCTGGAAATAGCTGGTGAACCAGCCACAAAGCAGGAGCAAGTTCCCCGGAGCCGGGCTGTGGGCGGGATATGAGTGTGACTGTCTCGTATCCACACACACAGATGTCACCCCCGCGGCCTCCTGCCTCCCCTGGGGCTCAGAAATCGCCACCTGGCCTGGCCACGAGGTTCGTCTGAGCGTGGGTGCCCGCATGGCCGTGGGGCCGTGGGGAGGATGGAGAAAGCCAGCCTCGGAGCCTGGGGACCTCAGGACCCTGCCCACGGCCCCCCGAAACTGGAGGAGGGAACCCTGCGCAAGGCCTGCCCAGCCCGGGTTTTACCACGGGGCCTCTCCAGGAAGCCAGACCAGGTGGTTTCCAGGCCAGGGACGCTGGGAGCCATGGTGGCCTCAGGCTCCAGTGTCCTCTCAGTCATCCGAGACGGGGTCAGCCAGCGGGGTGGGCGGTCCTGGGCTTCCTGGAAGGCAGGTAGAGAACGAAGAAGGAAGGGCCTTAGGTAGCTGCCTCGCCGTTTCGATGGGAGTGGCTGGCTGACCTCTTGTGGGGCCACCTGTGGCTGGAGCCAACTGCGTGTGGCTGGTGGGCAGGGGAGCAGGACACTCAGGCACAGGGAAGCGGGACAGAAAGTCCCTCAGGGCCTGGACCTGCCCCACTCCCCAGCCCAACTCCCCACTTCTCTGCTCATCCGGCCCGGGAAGGGGGGGGGGGGGGGGGGACCGAAGGGACGTGCCTAGGCGATGAGTCAGCTCTGGGGGAACAGCCCGCCCACCAGAGCAGAGGGATGGGCCCCATCTCAGCCGCCCTGTGGCTCCCAGAGACTCGTGGGCCCCTCCCCAGCACCCCGGCATCCTGTCCCTGGAGATGCACAGCGGCCCTTGTCCCTGCAGAAGCTGTCCCTTGTGGGGGCATCACCGGGGCCTGAGATGCCCCCTTCCCACGAGACGGCCAGGCCATCCGCTTCCTGACTCGAGTTTTTGTTTCCTCTTCGGATCCCCGTGGGTGCAGAGGACAAAGGACGCTCACGGAGCCAAAGAGACCAGAGCTGCGTCCCCTGGGGGGACGTGCAATGCGGCCAGCCATCAGGTCCCCGGCCATCACGTCTCCGGGGCTGCTTTCTCCTAATTATCTAGGTAATTCAGGGTGGCAGACCCTGTTCTGCCTGTTTAGACCTGCCCCACCGCCAAGGCATCAGTAATTCACATTCTCCTCTGGGACGGCCAAGTCCTGGAGGGCAGGGACCCTGCTGCCTCAGCCTGGGCTCCTGGGAGAGCCCCAGAGGGAGGAGGCAGTCAGGGAAGGCTTCCAGGAGGAAGCAGCTCTGGAGGAAGCCGGGGTCACGGGGAGACAGCGAGATGGAAGGGGTGCGTGTGTGTGTGTGTGTGTGTGCGCGCGCTCGCGGGCTCAGCAGGCAGGGAGGCCCTGGGCAGGTAGCTGGGAAGACGGGGTGGCTAGAGAAAAGGCCGACCAGAAGGAGCGTCCTGGACTCGGGACCTGGAATCGAGAGCCGGCCTCGCCCTGCCACATGCTGCCCGTGACTCTGGGCCAAGCCACGTCACTCCCTGTGCCTCGGTTTCCTCAACTCTAAGATGGGGACAAAGATGGAGGTGGATGTCGCTGCTCGGCGGGGTCTGGGCCGGGCCCTGGGACTCGCACGCTTTCCCGCCTCCCGGCACACCTCGCGCCTTCCCACGCCACCACCAGGAGGCAGGAGGCGCTGCCCTCCCCACGGCACAGACGGGGCTGCTGAGGCTCACGCAGGTCCCGGGGCGAGCAGGGCTGGAACCCGGTCCAGTGGCACGAGGCCCCGCTTCTCGCGGGTGATGCTCCTCGGGACGCAGATGCAGTGGTCCCCCTCTGTCCCTTCTCCTCCCTCTGGCTGCCACGACACATTAGCACAGGCCGGGCGGCTTCAGGAAACCAGCACTGTGTTCCCTCACGGCTCTTGAGAGCAGAAGTTCAGAATGAAGGCACTGGTGGGGCTGGCTCCCTTGGGAGACTCAGGGGAGAATCTGTTCCACGCCCCTCTGTCAGCTTCCGGGGGCTTTGGGCTGATGGGGTTTGGGACACCCTACCCCGAAATACTGCACCTTGGCATGTGGAACGCCTCAAGCTGCTCCCTTTGTCTTGTCAATTCTTCACAAATTTTATTGTATTTTATTTTATTTGGAGAGGAAGATTGGCCCTGAGCTAACATCCGTGCCAATCTTCCTCTATTTTGTATGTGGGTCACCATCTCAGCGTGGCTGACAGTGGCTTAGGTCCACACCTGGGAACGAAACCCAGGCCACCAAAGCGGAGTACGCCGAACTTAACCACTAGGCTGCAGGACTGGCCCCAATTTATTATTTTCTTAATTGCAGTAAAATTCACATCACATAAAATTCACCATTTGAAAGTGAACGATTCAGTGGCATTTAGTCCGTTCACAATGTTGTGCAAACATCACCTCTGTTTAGTTGCAAGATATTCCGTCACCCCAGAGGGAGACCCGTGCCCCTCAGCTGGCCCTCCCCTCCCCCCGGCCCCCGGCCGCCACGGATCTGCCTTCCGTGTCTGTGGCTTCGCCGATTCTGGCCATTTCCTGTGAGTGGAGTCCCACAGCATTTGTCCTTCTGGGTCTGGCTCCCTTCGCTCAGCATGGGGTCCATCCCCGTGGTCTCATATACAAGACATTCGCTCCTGTCTGTGGCTGAGTACTGTGTGTCCCGTGGGTGGACCACATGTTCTGCCTCCACTGGTCGCGGGTGCACACCGGGCTGTTTCCACCTTTGGCTCTGTGAGCGCCTTATTTTCAGGTGTGTCTGCTAGAGAACCGCCAAGTGCCTCTGTGCACGCACCACGCTTCAGTCGGATCAGCGCAACCCCGGACGGCAGCGGGGAGGTCAGTGGCCTCTCTGCTCCAAGATCCCGGGGAGGCCTGCCAGGTGGGGCCGGGCACACGCCCACTGGAGCCCGGTCTGTGCGCCTCACTCACAGCTGTTCCTCCAGCACCCAGGGCAGGGCGCCCAGCACAGAGCACCCAGTTCAGGGTACTGAGTGCAGAGTACCCATCTAAGGGCACCCAGCTCAGGGTACCCAGTTCAGAGTATCCAGCTCAGGGCACCAAGCCGAGCTGCACTCAGCACCGAGCACCCAGCACAGAGCACCTATCTCAGGGCACCCAGCTCAGACTACTCAGCGCAGTGCACCCAACTCAGGGCACCCAGCACAGAGTACCTATCTCAGGACACCCAGCACAAGTACCTATCTCAGGGCACCCAGCACAGGGCACCCAGCTCAGACTACCCAGCACAGATCACCCAGCTCAGCCCCTAGCTGATGGATGCTTGGCAAACACATACACTGGAAAAGGGAAGGAAGGAAGGGAGGGAGGGAGGAAGGCAGGCAGGCACACAGTGTGGTCTGGGGAAAGGGAGGCAGGAAAACCCACGGGGACAGGACAGTGGGGCAGGAGAGCAGGGGGCCCCAGAAGGAGAAGCGAATCCTGGACCCCGTGCCCTGCGGTCTGAGTGGTCCAGGTGGCAACTCAGCAAAAAGTGAAGCTGTGTGTGTTTGTGTGTGCGTGTGTGTGCATGTGTGTTAACGGAAACAAACACTTGGCCTTTGCCTCGGGTTCCTGGCGCAGGGCCCCCGACACCCTCGGAATTTCCTGAGCGGCCAGAGTGGGTTTGGTGGGCAGATGTGATGACTCAGGGTCGGGGTGGAGGAACAGAGACACCCTCAGGATGGGGGCTGATCACGGAAAACCCACCTCGTGCTTTGGGGTGAGACCTTGAGCGCCCCCTCTCCACCCCCGAGCTCAGGGAGGGCGAGGGGCCCGAGAGCGAGCGCCACCACCTGTGGCTAAGGATGGCCGATCACGCCTCCGGGCAAGAAACTGCGACACAAATCCCCAAATGACGGGGCTCGCGGCTTCCAGCTTGGCCAACACACCATGTGCCACAAGGGTAGCACGCCCCAACTCCAGGGGACAGAGCCCCCCGTGTTCGGGACCCTTCTAGACGCTGCCCTACGTCCCTCACCACCCGGCTGTTCACCTGGATCTTTTCTGAGAAACTGTAGGAGTGAGGATGGCACTTCTCCCGGGTCTCTGAGTCCTTCTAGCAAATCATCGAAGCTGAAGTCGGGTGTGGGACCCCCGAATTTGTGGCCGGCCGGGCAGAAGCACAGGCAGCCTGGGGACCCCTTCATGGCTGGTGGCTGAAGTCGGGGACAGTCTCGTGGGACGGAGCCCTCGACCCGTGGGGTCTGCGCCAACTCCGTGAGTCAGACCTGAACTGAACTGTGGACACCAGGGGGGTGGGAGGCTCAGCGAGTGGGGTCGCTGGGCTCCTCCGGGCTTTCGTCACGGGGGACGGGCTGACAGCAGGATGCTTTTCTTCCTGGCGATAGATCCAGGGGATGGCCTTGCTTCCGAGGGGTGGGGTGTTTCTGGGGGGCTACACGGGGCTGTCGCAAGGAGAGCTGAGAGGATGCAGGCTGAGAGCCCGGCCCCCCAGTGGGGTCAGAGGAGGAAGCCCCCCGTAGTGTTAGCAGGTAACAGGCAGCACCTCAAGGCCCCTGAATGTCCCGTGAACGGGTGGGCACTTGACTCTGTGGGCGAGAGGCTGCCAGCTCAGCCCCTTTCAGGGGCCAGACCAGCAACAGAAACGGGCAAAGCGAGCAGCGTGTAGCTATAACCCATGGCCTCCTCAGCCAATAGTTACCTTCCCCGCTTTTGAAGGCGACAGGGGCAAAGCTGGACATTTCCGTTCCGTAAGAAAATCGGCAGCACAAGGATGACAACATGAGCATGAATCCACAGCCTTCTGTCGGGGAGACAGACAACAGGGAGTGGTGGGGTCTGTGGCAAAGTGGAGCAAGGCCGCATCTCAAGGGCATCTCTGGCAGCTGCCCTTCCAGGACGTGGCAACAGCGTGTCCAGCAACTCGCCATCTGTGAGTTTCTACAGGAGGTCTTTCTGTTGGGCAAACTGGCAGGGCCGAGGCATTAATACCCCAGGTGCAGCTCCACCAACGCCAGACAGAAGCTGGAGGGAGACACCCAGCTCTCTCGCACACAGGGCGTGTTCTGCGTGAGTCTGGTGCGCGGGTCCCTTCCCTTCCCGGCCTCTCTTCCCATCCCCCACGGGTGCTTCCTGGATCCCCCCGCCTCCTAAATGACTGGCCACGAGATGCGGGTCCCAGAGCCTGCTTCTGGGGGCCCCAACCAAAGAGAAGGGACCAGTGGCACCTGGTTTTTGCCGGGTGGGCAGGCAGGCCCAGCATTGCGAGAACTTCCAGTTTTTGCAAAGAAACCAGCATCCATGGTTTCCTGTGAAACCTTCAGAGGTTGCATGGCCAGCTCCAACTAAACACAGCAAAGCAAAATAAAACGGAACACCACCAACCACGTCTGCGGGCGCTTTGGGCCTCGGCCCGCCTGCAGCGCAAAGCTGCAGGGGGCGCGCAGGAGGGGCTCCAGCAACCCACCGCGGCGGCCTGGGTGGGGACGGCGAGCAAGGCCCCAGGGGGGCCATGCAGCCTGGCCTGTTTAGGGGACCCAGCTGGAAGCATCTGGAAGGCTCAGCTCGGGCGGCCGTGGCCCCAGAGTAAACAAGCAACAGGATCCTTTTGCCAACACGCAGACCCCGAGCCGTGGTGACCCCTGGGCTCCAGGAGGGAGACCCCCGAGGACCCCTCCAGCGCGACAGCCGAGCTCAGGCCGGAGCCCCCAGGAGGAGGCAGCCCACAAGAGCCGGGTCCAGACTCCACACTCGGGAACTCCTGTTAATTCTGTGCAGATGGAGCAAACGCTTTACAGATTCCAGCCCCCACCCCGCCCCCTGCTCTCCTCTTGCAGGGGAACCAAAAAGGGCGTCTCGGGATTGTCTTGGCACCATTTCCCGTGGTTATTTAAAGCTTTTCTGCCGCCTTTTCAGGATTTAAATTAAGAATACGGGTGTCAAGAGTACAGGCGGATGATGTCAAATTTTCAGTGTGTGCTGGTCTACAGGCAGCCAAACCCGTCCAGGCCTGTTCGAAATCATTTAATACATTTCGTAGATTTTAAGCTGGGACTATTTTCGCTCGGGGGTGGGGGAGGAGAATGGAAACTCCTGAGAGCTGACCTTTCATGTGCCCCCCCAGAAGCCACATATTTCATATACTGTTAGCTCATTTAATCCTCATCATGACCCAAATAGCTATAAAGCTTTGTCTCCTTAAGATATCTTTTTAGAAACCTACATCAAAGGGAATTTGTTGGCTTACATAACTGGAAAGTCTGTGGTGAGGACTTCAGGCATGGCTGGATCCAGGAGCTCAAATGCTGTCATCAGGAATCTCTATTCCTCTCTTGGCTCTGCTCTGCTCTGTGACTGTTTCACCCTCGGGCAGGCCCTTCTCTTACAGTGGCAAAGACAGTCCCCAGTAGAAGCTCCAGGCTTCCAAACAGTCAAGCAACCCCAATTGAAAAAGAACAGCTCTTTCCCAGAGGTGTCGGCAGAAGTCCCGTGCCTGAGTTCCACGGGCCCAGCTTGGGTCAGGTGCCATCATCGGACCGATCGCTCTGGTTAGGGTGATAGACTTTTCTGATCACACGCCCACCCCTGGAGGAGGAGAGGGTCAGCCCCACTAAAATACCGGTGGCGACGGGGAGTCACTGTCCCCAGAAAGGGTGCTGGACACTGGGCGCTCAAAAGTAACAGACGCCTGCCCCAGCGAGGCGTGTGAGAAGAAGAGAGGAACCCCGTGACATCAGCAGGGCTGTCGCGACCGTGGTGCAGGTTGCGCACTGCACATCTCTAGGGGGCTCCAGTTACATCCCCTGCCGTCGTACATTTACTTCCACGTGCATCGTAACAGATTTCCAACAATGGCAGTTAAGCGTCTTATGATCGAAAAAATTAATTGAAAACCGTGGCCACAGTAGGTGGCAGCTCTCTCCATCCCCAGGTGGCAGCTGCTTCCTCTCTCCCAGAAGCTGGGCCACCCGTGACCTGCTGTGACCACAGAATGCAGTGGGAGGGGCGCTGCAGGGGCCGAGCTGGGCCGCGGGAGGCCGGGTCGCCACTGTCCCCTCTCGGAAGGCTGTCCAGGCCAGCGCGGCAGGAGGCGCACGGACCATGCGTGAGACCTGGGGGTGGAAGGGGGGGACTCCCCGGGGGTCAATGGGTCAGAGGTGATGACAGTGTCCCCGGGGATAACCCCCTAAATAAACTGCCTGCACCCACATCCTCGCCTCCGAGGCTGCTTCTGGGGGAACCGAGGCTGAGACAGGCTTCTCAGGAGACCCCGAGTGCCCCTGTGCTGTGGGCTGAAGGAACCCAGGGACGGAGCTCTGAGCAGAAAGAGATAAACCTTTTCTTATAATCTTTCATTCATTCATTCAACAAACAGTCAACAGCCTCCGGCTACATGCCAGCACCGGGGATGGAAAGAGCCCAGAACCTGGCATCAGCCCTGAGACATGGGCATGTCACCCGGCCTCTCAGACTTCATTTAATCCCCACAGTAGTCCTATAAGATAAGCAGGCGATGTCATGGTCCCCATTTGTCAGATAAGGAAACAGAGGCACAGAGAGGTTGAGTGACTTGCCCAAGGCCACACAGCTAGGCACTGGCAGAGCCAGGATTGGAACCCAGTCAGATCCTGTGTTCTTAGCCGTTTCCTCAGGAGTTCCGGCATCTGGGCTGACTGAGGAAAGTCCCAGAATTTAGGACTTGCTCCCGCAGATGGTCTGAATCTGTTCCATAATACTTGTAGGAATGATCTTATTCTTTTACTTTTCTGAGTCTGAGGAAATTGGGATCGGAGCCCCCTTGCCAGGGGCCAGGCCTTTGCCACTCAAAAGCCGCCTCCCCAGAGAGTCCCCACAAGCCGCTCCCAGACAGCCTGGCTCCACCCCCTCAGACCCCAGGTGTCCACAGCATCTCTCACCTCTGCTCCCAAAGCTTGCCTTCTCCCAGCCCCACCCCGGGCTCTGGGGGCTGAGTCATCACCTGACTAAGGCGGGTTGTGGCGATTGCTTCAGAAACCGGCCTGTGACCCTGGCTGGGTCGATGAGACTCAGCCCTAGGACTCTTGCAGAAGCTGTTCCGCAAGAGGAAATCTCCACTCGGCTGGTGCGATAGAAGCCTGGGGCCATGAGGCACCATCTTTGCCAGCAGGTGGAGAGTGTCCACCTGAGAGTGAAGCCAACAGAAAGCAAACCAGGGCTGAGAGATGGAGACAGATCCCGGACAACACTGCCTGAGCCCCTGGATCCAGCCGTGCCTGAAGCTGTAGCGCTCCTGACTTTCCAGCGACACAAAACAATACGTTCTGCTTTGGCATAAGCTAATTCCAGCGGGATTCTGTTATTTGCAGTTGGATGAGCCCTGCCTGAAGGACGAGGCTTTAAACAACCAGGGCCTGTTGATTCTCCAGGGGCCCACGGCAAACACAGCCCTTCAGAACACAAAAACACAGCTGCTCTTTGAAAGAGACGGAGGGAGGGGAAAATACTTTGCATTCTCTTGCGATGAATCAGGAGCCAAAATAAGACCTGGTTCATTTCTCAAGCGGGTTATCCTGCCCAACCGCTATTACTCATCCCAGCCCCGACCAGCCCGAGGTTGGCGTGGCCCTGGCCCAGGGAGCCTGCCGTGCTCAGAGCCTCCCCAGATTTTCCACGCTCGTGTGAAAAGCGTGTGCGTCGTGGCTCCTTCTCCTCCGGCTCATCCTCCTGGGAGCTGGGCTGTCTGGAGCTCCAGGGTCCAGCCAAGTCAACCCCTAACAAAACGCAGGGATGCACAGGGAGCCTCTGGAAACCTCGCCCCTGCAGAGAGGTCCAGAGAAGCTGGCCTGGCCGCTTCTTACTGAGCAGCGGGCTAGCACAGGACCTCAGCATCAAGGAGGGGTCAGCCGGGGATAGATGAGGAAAGGCTTCAAAGGTTGGGCCGAGGAGGTGAGACTCTGGAAGGATGGAGGGCACGCGGGGAGATGCTAAAGGGGGAACTGAGGCACCACCTCCTCTGGGCTGAGGCCCCCTAGAGACAGCCTGAGATGCGATGTGGGTACACGTGGCTTTTGGGGGGGCGGTTCCCAGCAAGAGGGGTGTCATTCCTTCTGGGCTGCAGCGGGGCGGGTCAGGGTGGGAGACGGCCGTCCGCTGGTGGCAGCCGAGGCTCCCAGCAGCCGGGTTAAGAGGGTCAGGGCGGCCCCTCTTTCCTCCTGGGGACCACACACCGGCCTCGGGGGGCAGGGCCTCGGCGACGGGTCCGGCGGCGGCTGGCGGGGGGGCTCAGGGCCGGACGCCGGGACTCCGGCTTCGCCTCCTGCTCGGGGTGCGGCCGCCCCACCCGGAGCTGCGGGGTTGCGCGGCGTGCAAGACCATATGCAGGGGACACGCGACAGTGCGCTCACGCTCCTCCCTCCGGAGCCGGCTGCGTGGGAGGCGCCCCCAAGAGTCTCGGTTTGGCACCCACCTCCCGCTGCCCCAGGCCGGGGGCCGTGAGGAAGTGTGGGTGTCAGTCACCAGCTGTGGGCGGGGCTTCTGGAGCCTTCCCGGCACCCCCAGCCACGGACGACCCTCCACGGGCGCAGGTGCTCCCAGACCCCTGGCCTCTGGGGACAGTCCTGGCTCCCCAAATCCCCTCGCACTCTGAGTCCCTCTGGATGAAAACCTACCTCGATGGGCGTGAGATTCAGGTCTGGAGCACAAAGAGCGGTGACTCGTCAGAGATGCAGGAAGCCCACTCCTGGCCTTGAACCAGAATTGCTTCAAACCCTCCAATGACCCCTAGGGCCCCGAGGACAAGCCCCACCTTCTCGCAGGCCATGCTCTTCGGGGAGATCTCTTGGGCCTCGTTGCTCACCGTGACCCTCCTCCTTGTGCCCTGACTTCTCAAAACGCTGATGAGTCCCTATTGTTCCATGTGCTCCTGCCCCTGGGCCTTTGCACGTGCTATTCTCTCTGGCTGGAATGCCTTCCCCTACCTCCTCCCTGCCTACTTGTCCTTCTGCTCTGGCCTCCGGCCTCCTCTCACTCCGGGAAGCCTTCCCTGACCCCAGCCCCTCTGGGTGGGACCCTCCTTCCTGTTCCCCACACCCCCCCCCACCTCCCCACTCTGTGCTACCTCTCTCCTTGATCACTTGCCTCCCCAAGAAGACTGAGCGCCCCAGGGGGTGGCCCTGGAGCTTGACTGACTTGCTGTCGGCTGTGCCAGACACTGCAGTTGCTCAAGAAACGGGTGTGGCGTGAACGAATGAAAGCCAATGAGCGGGGTGGGCGGCCCCCTCTGCCAGCGGGCTGAGCGGGTCCCACCACTAATTACATCCACTTACACGGCGCCAGGCAGCATGCTACACCAGTAACACGGTCCTCCAAGCTGATTTTGAGCACGGTTTGTGACGGCCAAACATCCCGGGGTATCTTTATTGATGACGTACACCTCCCCATCCAATTAGAATTTGCCGTCGCCTCTGCCTCCAGGATGACAGGTGCCGCCCCCCGAGTAGCAACAGCTGTGATAACAGGTCGGGGCCGCTCTCGATGTTTCCGGCTCGGCTAGGCACTGGCTGCGTGTTTTTTTTTATATTATTGTCTCTTATATTTATATTATATTTATATTTATACTTTATATATATATATACTTTATATATATACTTTATATTAGTGTCTGCACATTTGCAGAAACTGAGGCCTAACGTGGTTAAAGTCGTGGCTCACAGCATGTGGTGGCACAGGGATGTGGCCCCGGGGGCAGAGATGAGTAGACGGGCCACAGTGGGCTGAGCGCACAGTAGGGCACGTGGCTGTGGGCGGTGTGTCGGACTCCTGGGGCTGCTGTCATCACCTGCCACCAACCGGGGGGCTTCAAACAATAGAAATGGACTCCCTCGCAGTTTCTGGGGGCCAGAAGTTTGAGATCAAGGGGTCGGCAGGGTCACGCTGTCCCCGGAGGCCTCACAGGTCAGTTCTTCTCGCCTCTGCCGGCCTCCAGTGGCTCCTCGTTCCGTGGCTTGTGGCCGCGTCACTCCAGTGTCTGTCTCCCTCTTCACGTGGCCTTCTCGCGGCATCTCTGGGTCTCAGATCTCCCCCACCTTTCTCTGATAAAGACAGTGATCACTGGACGCAGGGCCCACCGTCCATCCAGATCCTTAACTTGATGACACCTGCAAAGACCCTCTTTCCAAATACGGTCACAGTCACAGGCACCGGTGGGTAGGACCTGACGTATCTTTTGGGGGTCCCCGCTACAGGTGCAGGGAGAGAGCAGAATTAAGCAATCAGCGGCCCCTCCACGGGGGCTAAGAGAGGTGAGAGGATGGCCGGAGCCGGGAGAGGAGGTGAGGGGGGCACAGAGAGGGACAGAGACAGAGAGGGCCCCCAGGCTCCCTTCCCCACTGGAGACCTCGCTTACAGAGTGGGGAGCGGCCAGGGAGGACACAAGGCCCCCCAAGTCCCAGCTCCAGACGGACAGCTCAGGGACTCCGGGCCCCCCAGCCTCTCGCAGTCCCACCTGCTCCCCGGGGCCTCGGGCCCACGTCCCGGCTCACGCAGTCCTTGGCCGGACCCAGCCCGGGGGAGGCGTGCAGAGCCAGACCGGGGCTGCTGGCTGGACTCCAGGCCCAGGGAGACGCCCCCCGGGCCCTGCTATCAGTCCTGCAGACGCCACCAGACCTCCTCCCAGAGGACAGAGCCCAGCCTCCACGTGGTGACCCCGCTGTGCCCTCAGCCCCGCAGGGTTGGAGTGTCCCATGCGCCTGGCCGCCCCCAAAAGGCCGAATGCCTAGAATGCCACAGGATTTCCACGGTGGCCCTTCTCCCGGCCCCAGGGAAGGAGCAAAGGCTGGCTCTGGGGTGGGGGTGGGAGGGCCCAGGGTACCAAAAAAAAAAGAATGGAAAACATCTCATTGATTACATGTCGAAATGTCAGTATTTTGGATTACATAAAATATATTGTTAAAATTAATTTCTCCCGCTTCTTTTTACTTTTTTTAATGCAGCTACAAGAAAATTACAATGACACTCATGGCTCACATGAATTATCTTTCTGCTGGGGGAGACCGGCGTCAAGGAAGTGCCCGCTGTGAACATTCTCAGAAGGTTACCGAGACGCGTGCGTTCTCCTTGTGCTTCTAAAGTTGCTCCTGTCCCGTCAGCGGCCGGCCCGGCGGGGATGCGCCAGGCAGGGCGTAATTGCTGCCCTCTGCTCACCTCCGGAGGCACACGCTGTTCCCATTTTTCTTGCGATCAGTACCTCTGAGACACACACTTTCGAACTAGCGCTGGAGATATCTGGAAATAAAGTCAAATCTTTGTATATGATGAAAATATTTTGGAAAAGAAATATCCAGTCTTAAATCAACAGAAATAAAATCTAGGTACATCTTGAATAAACAAAACAAAATGTAATTTTGGAAGGGGTGCCTAGGCTGGGCCAGGCTCCCCGGGGGATCGGGGTGTCCCCGCTGGGGCCCCTGCCCGCCTGCCCTTTGAGAGTCATGCGACTTCTGCCCGGGGTTTCCCTCTTTTCAGATGACTCTGCCACAAAAAGATGGGCATTGTGAACACACGAGGCGCCGTGTGACAGTCTCCTGACCCTTCTGCGTGGGCAGCGCCCTCGCCCTGACTGGGGCGGGCACCAGGTCTGCCCCGTCTGCTCCCGGCCACAGAGGAAGGGGACCTGGGAGGACTCTGACCGCAGTGCCACTCGCTCCATCCTCCCGCCCAAGCCTGGCAGGCCGCTCAGTCAGGGCCCGGGACCCTGGCTATTTACCCCGAAGGGAGCCCGGGGCAGCGGGGATTCCTGAGCTCTGGGAGGTGGGGCCAGCTGTCACTATCTTCAGCATCTTACTGGGGGGCATCTCCTGGATCGGGACCCTTTTGCTGTCCACTTCCCCGGGCCTGAACCTTTTTCTTCCTTATTAACATATTTTGAGCATGTTCTGGGCGCTGACACCACACAAACCTTATCTTGTTTCATCCCTACACACCTTCGAGGGAGGAGCTACCATCACTTTCCCTATTTCACAGATAAGGACACTGAAGCACAGAGAGGTTAAGTGACTGGCCCAAAGTCACACAGCTCAGGGCCCGTCTTCTTGACAACCACCCCATGCCGCCTCTGTGAGGAAGGGTCAGAAACCCAGGTACAACAAACGGATCCTGCTCCACCCCAATAAACAAACACAGGGAGTGCCCTGTGCCGCTCGCCAGCTCCTCTACCCAAGAGAGCTGCTCCTTCCCTGGGGCCCCCATCCTGAGGGCACCACTGCCCGTCAGTCACCCAGCCAGACACCCCAAGCCTGACAACCCTTCCTCCTGCCTCAGACCGGTTCTCTCCAACCCCTCCTCTTACTACCATCTGAGTGACCTGTGGCAAGTCACTGGACGTCTCCGTGCCTCAGTTTCCCCATCTGTAAAATGGGGATCGTGATCGGCCTGTCTCATAGAGTCACTATGAGGTTGGAGGAAGTTTTTAATTAAAATACACACACACACGTATTAATATATATCAGGGCTTATCATGGTCCCTGACACAGAGTGAGTGTTCAGCGCTATTTAACTCTCATAATTATCATCCGGTTCCAGAGCCCAGCACGGTGGGCGGGATGCCGGAGGCCCCTCGGCAAACGTCTGGGAGTCCAGGGGTGGTTTCACGAGATCCAGTCACGTCCCTCCCCAGCCAAAGTTCCTGTGATGGCTTCCCCCTGAGCCGAGGGTGAAGCCCCAACTCCTCAGGCTGTCCTAACCCCGAGCCGGTCTCCCTGACCCCCTCCTCCTGACCCCTAGGCCCCCTCACCCTCCAGTGAGCTCTGACAACACCATTAGCCTCATCCTGCCTCAGGATCTTTGCACATGCTGCTCCCCTGCCCAGAATGTGCTTCCTGCACAGCCGGCTCCTTCTCATGCTCCAGGCCTCAGCCCATGGCAACTCCCCGCGGAGGCCTCCCCGGGTCCCAGCACGCGGCTCTTCTCCCTGGTGGCACGCACCACAATCTGTCGACTTAGATTTGCTTGTGTGTTGACTGCCCCCCGCTGGTATGTCTGCTCCATGAGGGCCAGGACCTCATCAGGTGCTCGCAGCTGGATACCCAGACTCAGCACAGCACTCTGCAGGGACAGCCAGTAGGCGCTCAACAAACGCTTGTGGGGCAACTGAATGCTCCAATCCGTGAATGAGCCAGTGAGCCGATGGGGTCTCGTGCCGATGCTCGTTCTGCAGCCTGGGACACCGAAGCTGAGATGAGGCGACTCCCAGGTCACAGACTTGGCGGGTGGCAGAGCCGGAGCCACCTACATGACCGAGGTCATTGTGATGAAATTTCTATAAGTGCAAAGGTTCACAGGTGACGCAGGTGGCGCTCCAGGAGACCTCCTCTTTGATCCGCCACCAGCCCCAGGTGGCAGGCAGCCAAGGCCCCGGGAATCAGGACCCTGCGTCACCGCCACGGGCACCCTGTGCGCTGGGAGGAGGGACCGGCTGCCAGGTCTCTTCGCTCGATGCCGGGATGGGGGGTCACGACAGCCCCTCTGGCAGGTCACCAGGACCCCCACGCGATGGGACATTGCATCCTAACTGCTGAGTCACGGCGAAGGGGTGGACGGCATTGTTCACGACCGCGGCACCGCGACGTCCGTTCCAAACTCAGTTCCAGCCGTTCGTCCGCTCCACGCAGCTGAGCTGTGCTCAAGTCCGCTCTTTGGCAGACGCTGCCTGGGAGGAAGGGAGCAGGTGAGCCCAGAGAGAGGAGAGGGCTGGTTTGTGGTGGGCGGCCTGGGCTAACGTCCCGAGAGTGGAGGGGGAGAGAACTGAGTCATGACCGCATTGTGCTGGGCCCCCCTTAATCCTCACTTGCCCCCCTGTGAAACGGGTGGAACTGTTTTCTCCGTTTCACAGATGTAGAAACAGAGCTCAGAGAGGTTGAGGGCTTTGCTCAGGGTCACACAGCCGACCAGAATTACTGTGGGGCTGGAACTCCAGAGCGTCACCCACAGCCTTCCAACTCATCATAAACCATCCTCCGCCACACGCCAAATGCTTAGAACACGTCACTGCCTTTCATTTTTTGCGACAAACTTACGGCCTATGTGCCATTATCAGCCCCCTTTTACAGATGAAGAAACTGAGGCTGGGATAAGGGAGACCACCCACCCAGAGGCTACCATCGGGGGCTGGCAGAGGCAGGATTCGAATCCAGTGCATGGCCAGGGCCCACGCGCTTCCCTCTGCGCCCAGCTGCCTCATTCGTCATCTCCAATTGGTCAGGAGGCTCTTGGCTTCCTGCACAGCTGGGCAGGGCCAGGCGAGGCGACCACACCGTGACCTCCCAGCCAAGGGCACGGGGCTGCAGCCCCCTCTGGCCCCCCGGGCCGCCTTCCCTGGTCAACCCGTCCCCAAGTTCAAGCCCCTCTGTTCCCATGCACAGCCCCCTGCCGTGGCCCCCCTGATCCCCAGCCACGGAGGGAGCCCCAAGTAATGAGCAGATGGAGCTGGAACGAGGGAGTGACGCTGAGGGATGGACAGACACACAGACAGACTGGAGGGAGGTGGGGGCGCAGCCGGGGGACCCGGGCAACGACGCAGAGCAGGAGAAAGCAGGTGAGGGGTTGGCAGCGGACGTGGGGAAGGCGGATGAAGGAGTCTGTGTAGCTGACAGCAGAAATAAAAATGCCGACATCTCACCAGCCGGACACGGCCCCCTGGAGGCCGCGTGCGTGACTTTTAAAGAAATGCCCAGAAAACTGGGCCTGGCTCAGCTGAGAGCTTTGAAATCTTTTTTTTTTTTTTAAACAGCATTATCAAGATATAATGCCATACAATTCGCCCATTTGAAGTGCACATTTCCATGATTTTTAGTATATTCACAGATGTGTGTGACCATGGCCACAATTTGAGAGCATTTCCATCACCTCCAAAAGAAACCGTGCTCCCTCCCCTGTCACCTCCCACCATCCCCGCTCCCCACGGCCTCAAGCACCCACTGGTCTACCTTTCTGTGCCCCTAGATTTGCCTGTTTGGGACATTTCACGTCAGCGGAATCACGCGATTTGGGGCCTCTCGTGTCTTTCACCGGGCAGGATGCTCTCCAGGCTCATCCCTGTGGGAGCACGTTCGGGACCTCATTCTTTTAACTAACAAATACCATTTCGTTGTATGGCTAGGCCACATTCTGTCTCTCTGTTCAGCCAGGTGACCGACACTCGGGCTGCTTCCACCTTTTGGTGTCCTGAGCAATGCTGCTGTGGACATCCGTGAACGAGTTTCTGGGTGTGCCTCCATCACTCCTGGGCACCCACCTTGGAGCGGAAGTGCTGGGTCGCACAGGAAAGACCCCTGGGCCTCCATCCATGCTCGGGCGCCCTCAGCAAACACACGGCCAGCTCTGCAGAGCGTCCTGGCACATCTCGTACAGGCTTCCTCCAGGCCAGGCCCTGTGCTAGATGATCTCGTTTCACCTGCACAACCCCCTATTGGAGAGGCACTGATATTATCCGAATTGTACAGACAAGGAAACTGAGGCACAAAGAGGACGCTTGCCCAGGAAGCGAGCCCCCTGCCTGTCTCCAGAGTCCCTGCTCTTAACATTAGACTGAAACCAGGCTGAGAACATTCTAGAAAGAACAAGACTCAGGGCACCTGGGAGTCAGTGGTGGAGCTGGGCCTCAGCCCCGAGGACCTGAAGCAGCGGCTTCCCCTCCCCACCCTGGGGACCCCCAGGGGACAACATCCCACAGGGTGGAGCCTGCTGTGTGTGCCCAGGTCTCCCACCAGCTCCATCCTGCCCTGAGCCTTTTGGAGGAGGGCGGGGGTGAGAGGGGGAGAGCTCTTCCCGGCCAGCAGGGAGTCTGACCTCTTCTTTCCTTCCTCACCCCCCACAGCAGGACAGCCGGGCAAGTACTCAGGCCACAAGTATTTATTGAGCACTGACTGTGTGCCAGGCCTGTGCTGCACACTGAAGATCCACCAGCAGCCAAACAGACACTGTCCATGGAGCTGATATTTTGGTGGGGGAGAAACAGACAATACACCACACAAATAATGAAAATATCCGGCTCCCCCATGATGAGCGGGTCCCTCCTGGCAGCTGACGCAGGACCATTGGCCTGCACGCACCCCTCCTGTGGGGCAGAACGAAGGACCTCGTCCCCTCCCCACCGGGGACAGACACAGCAGTGGGGCTGGCCGGGTGCCACAGGACGCACGCACGCACTCACACGCTGAAGCGGAACACGGAGCACATGTCGGGTCTGACACAGGGAAGGAGACCCCCGTACAAGGCCATGAGCTGGCTCTTATCTCTGCTGAGGATGCGTTCCAGGC